GCTCATATTTAAAGGGGTTTTTGTGGGGGTCTTTAAAAGCATTTGACATTAAACCTGATTACTGAGAGTGTTTGTAGCTGGTGTACCCCCCCTCCAAACGGTCAGCTTCAGTCAAATTAACCCCCCCATGCTGAGTTATTACATAACCCCAACTCTGTGAATGACAGACTGCCTGTTTGTGCTGCCTGAACACTCATTAGTGTCCCAGTAGTGGATTGGATCAGTGGGGCAGAAGAAGGGGGAGCAGTTATTCTAATGGATCTTTATTTGACTTCATGTCATTTTCAGACGTCCCGAAGCTCTTTTAAAGTTTCGAAATGTCAACAAAACGACAAAACTAACTCAAGGGATGAGTCAGCGTTGTGTCCGACTCAGCAGAGAAGCAGCTTAAAGTGGATCTGTGTCACAGAGATGCCTCGTTTGTTCCCGTTTCTGCAGCCGATGTGTGAAAAAGGCCAAAGAAGACGCAGTTTGACTGACAGGAAAACAGGGACTTTTCCAGCTTTCTGTCCTGATCGATTTCTGAGACAATTCTGCACCCATTTGCTACACGGCCTGCAGAAAAAAGACGACGTGGTGCACAAACCGGCCCGGCTGGTGGCCGTCCACGCAGTGAGTTCGACCCAATAAAGAAACAAAGGCCCCTCTGAGCCATTTGGCTTGAGCTGAGGATAGTTCACCTCCTATTGTTCAACCTGTGTGAGGCCTGACCCGGCAAACACAGACAGCCTCTGTTTGGATCTTTAACCCAATGCAAAGAATAACTTCACAAATACAACTTGAGGCTTATTTTCAGCACTTTTTGACTTTAAACTGCAGCATTTTTGTGCGTCGGAGTGATAAGTCTGACAGACTTAAAGGGGCCAAACGCAACCATGATGCTCTATGCTGGTCTGAGATCAGCGGGCAAAAAGGAAGGACTGGTCGGCCCACATGTGGCCCATCAGAGGTCCAGATGTGGCTCTAAATCTGGCCCCCGTTTATGGGCCTAAACCAAGAAGCCATTCTGAAAGAAGGAAGGAAACAGGGAGGAAAGGCGTCGCTCTGCCAGAAGAACCAGAAGTGGACTGAACACCAGCAGCTCTGATAGAGGGATGGACCCTCACTCCTTTAAGTGTTTTCAGAGCTAAAAAGACCCGAACAAAGCCAAAAAAACAAAAACAAAGTATAAAATGACCAACGCTAGAGCAGGGACACAGATTCATGTGTGGATTTGAGCTTTAGAGCTCCAAAGTTCTGCTTCTTAGACTAAACAAAGTGTCGAAAGTTGCCCTGAAACGACAGGAAATGAATCTCTGGACCAAACCTTCTTTGCTCTGGCTGAGGTGTCAGTTTGGGCCCCGGCTTTCTGGAGCTGCCTCTTCCTCTTCCTCACCGGGGCTTCAGATTCCTTCAGGACGACTTCCTCCAGCTGGAAGGAGACGGCCGGCTTCTCCTTCTGCTTCTTCCTCCTCTGGAATGAAAATCAGCCTTTAATTATGTTGTTCCTGTAACCCCCAAAAGGGGCTTCAGGCTGCCCGTCTTTGAACCACATTTCATGCTTTCTGGGTGAGTTTCTGAGGATCTGATCCCCTCTGCTGTGTCTGGCTGGCCTGTTTTAGCCTCAGGCAGAAATCTCATCGAAGAACAATCGTCGGCAGAATGTTGGGGGGGCCATTTTGGAAGAAGTGGCCACACAGTTCCGCTCATTTACAATCGCAGAATTTACAAGGGGCCTCGAAGCCAACGGGGATTCATGCAGTCGTCACAAAATAACTTACATTCTGTGCAATCTGCCTCTAAATTCTGCTGGATCCTCCAGGTTTGATGGCTGGCTCTGCCAAAGTATCTCGTACTTTGACCCTAAAATATCTCATACTTTGACCCCAAATTATCTTGTACTCTGACCATAAAGTATCCTGCACTTTGACCATAAAGCATCTTGTACTTTGACCCTAAAGAATCTCGTACTTTAACCCTAAAGTATCTCGTACTTTGACCATAAAGTATCCTGAACTTTGACCATAAAGCGTCTTGTACTTTGACCCTAAAGCGGCTTGTACTTTGACCATAAAGCATCTCGTACTTTGACCCTTAAGAATCTCATACTTTGACCCTAAAGCATCCTGAACTTTGATCCCTAAAGCATCTCGTACTTTGACCCTAAAGAATCTTGTACTTTGACCCTAAAGCGTCTCGTACTTTGACCTTAAAGCATCTCGTACTTTGACCCTGAAGCGTCTCGTACATTGGCCCTAAAGTATCCTGTACTTTGACCCAAAAGCATCTCCTAATTTGACCCTAAGACATCATGTACTTTGACCATAAAATATCTCGTACTTTGACCATAAAGTATACTGTACTTTGACCCTAAAATATTTCATAATTTGACCCCAAAGTACCTCGTTCTTTGACCATGAAGTATCCTGAACTCTGACCCTAAAGCATCTCGTACTTTGACCCTAAAGCATCTCATACTTTGACCCTTAAGAA